CTAATAAAGATAAAGAATTCCACTTTTTTCTTTTTTAAGAGCAAATAAGCGCATCATATGAAATTGTTATAAAATAAAGGCCACCAGGGGACATTAATATACAAACATATCTTCCTCATGCTATGGTTATGGTGATGTCTTTTTCCCAAAAATTTTAATGTTACAGCTTTTGGATTTTAACCAACCCAGGCTCATTATTGATACATACCCGTAAATACATTTTTGGAGATCACAAAATAAGTCACAGGAGCTACATTTTTTTTTTTTTTGCAGTTTTTTGTTTTCGTGAATCCATCAGAGGCCGCTGTGTACGCTTTTTCAGATCTCAACTTTCTCTCGCAAGTGCAATTTTTGCCTGCTGTTCTCGTGTAAAACCACCAGAGGCCGCAGTCGACTGGCTGACTTACTGATCAACCGATCCCCCAATCACCCCCTTCCCTAAACCCAACCAACAGTGTTTTCAAAAGTAATCCAGAAAAAAGAAAAGCCCTTGCGGCCGCTTGATTTTCACCACATTTTTAGGACTAACCACGTTCTCACCCTGTTATTTATTTGTTTATATTTTTCCCTTTTTTTTACATGCTCTCTGGAACCGTTTCTCACTGAACTCGAACCGCATTGTCAGGGTGACCGGCATCTCAAGTCCACTAATGTACATGGCGAGCAACTGGGCAAACTGGTAAAAGCAGAAAAGCTGTCCACACGAAGGCAAGCGGTGAGCTGGTAGCGCAAACAGAAACAGAAGCTGTCAGTGGCGTCATACCACTCTGTAGCATTCATTTTAAAGACGAAATGTAGCTCTGTCTACATAATTTGCATAATTCAGGGGTACGTTTTTACAATGAGCCTGTGTTGCATTTAATTTGCTACACTTTTTTCTTTTTTTTAGATTTTATATTTGTTTTTTGTTACTGACTGATTGCAGGCTTCACTGATCTGAGATTATGCACCTCAACATAAAGAACTGATACTTGTTTCCACTGGATAGATATTTATAACACCACACAGATACAGACACACACATTTAGGTGGTTTATGATGATTTTCCATTGCCGTAATATATTTTATACTAAGAAAAAAAGCTTACTGTAATGAATTATCCGACCCCAACTCCTAAAGCCAACTCTGTGGCAATTTTTAAATGTGAAAAGACCACATTAAATATGATTGTTTGCAGTTTTGACATATAAGGACACAGTGCATTTGCTCATAAACCACCTTAACATTGTAAAATCTAGGTCATACCCATGTCATTATAAAAATTACATACCAAAATCAATACACATACACATTTGTGCACAAAACAACCTAATTTGAGTATAACAGGCTTTTTCCTGGGATTAATGAGGCCAGCAATCAAACAGCTTCCAAACTACAAACCCTTTCCTTAACAGAAAGAAAAGAAGGCCAAAAAGAGAGAGAGCTCAATATTTGGTAATAATTAAGCACAACACTATTTATAAATTTTTATTTATTACATTTTTTTTTTTTAGAGACGAGTCATTTTTGATAGAAAGCACAAGTAACTGAATGTGCATCCCTGAGCACACAACCAATTGAAACCTCAAGTATCTCAGATGTCAGCCAAGAACAGCAAACTGAGTCTATGATTTGCACGTACTCACCAAAAATGGATAAAAGAACAGTGGAAAAATGTTCCTTTGCCTGACGAGCCTCGATTTCACCAGCAAAACATACTGCTTAATAGCATCACCTCTTATTACTGAAGCTAAGAGCCTACTCACACTATGCTATCCAAACCATGCCCAGGCCCGTTTCCCGGATCGTTTGAGAAGTGTGAGTGCTCTGAATCGGTTCACTTGGCCAGCCCTGGCCCGGTTGGAAGAGGTGGGCCTGAGCGCGGTTCACTTGGGCTTTGGCGTGGTATGCTTGTGTGTACAGTAAGTGCAAAACACGCCAAAGCCCGAAACAGAAAGCGAGATGTGATTTTATGGGACTGTTTCATATGGATTTAATAATCAGTCTTACTGTTTAATGAACGCAAACTGTCGCAGATTATTAAAGACGCAAACCCCTCACTGCATGACAGCTGCGCCTTCAGCAAACCTCCTAATTCTTGCAGCACGAGTACTCTATGGCTGTTTATGAGCGTCAAAAGTGACTGATCTGTTCAGCGAAATATTTGACTGCATGTTACTGCTTATCAAACAACTTAAACGATATTACTAAAGCAATCTCCACTGTGCTGAGCGAGATCGCTTTCTGAACAGCGCAGCATCGATGACGTAATCGTGCCCAGGCCCTGAATATAATGTGAGTGCTGGCCGTCGGGGGAGATGGGAGGTAGGACAAGCGTGCTTTAGCCCAGTTCAAGGCAACTGTACATAGTGTGAGTACGACCTAAATGTGGTCTAGTACTAAGGAATATGGACAAAATTGTTCCAAAACTTCACCATACTTCTCTTTATACACTTCTAAGGATGTTTTCCTTCCTTGTGTGCCTACTCTTATGGTTCAATAAAGTCTTAAACCTCCTCCGGACACGGCTTCCTTGACTCTATTAGCATTTAGAGTGCTGAATTTCTCCAGCATGTCATAAAGCTTTTAAGACAGGTGAGAAGTGTGTGGCAACGGGACGCAGAGTGAGTGCAATCGCCCAGAGTTCAGCGATTCCTGTGAATCCTCCAGAGAGAAGGCCGACCAGGAGCGTTCAATTAAAGAGCCTGCTATTGCTGCAGCACTGAGGGCAGAGTGAGCTAAACTACACATGGGAAATAGACTGAGAGTTGAGAAGAATATGTTGATATGAAGGCTCATTTATGTCTCTCAAGAGAATCGGAGAAGAGACAGAGAGAAAGTGGAGTAAAAGAAGTGCTTATAGGGGTCTGAAAGACTCATGCCGGAAGTTAAAATAAAAAAGAGGGATAAAATAGAGATGTTTTGACAGCCCTTTTCCGTTTCCAATACCGATTACAATACATGGGCTCAGGGTATCAGCCAATACAAAGTACTGATCTGATACCTGTATTTATATTTACAGCTACTAGTCTTGTATGGATTGATATAATTGTTTTATGGGGTTCTTCAGATGATCTCTTAGCGAAACATGATAAAATGCACTTAGTAAACTACAGATAAAAATACTCCACAGTTCTAATACTGTAAATTGAAAAAGGGCACAGTCTACAGGTTACAGTCTAACTGTATAATAAAACACTCAAAGGCATACACATATTATGCTAGTAGACTAAACTATGTCTCATTTTAGTTTATGGTTTTAAAAACTCACGATAAGGATATCAGAATTTTTTATTCATTGTATGTGGCATTTTCATTTATTCATTCATTCATTTATTTCCCTTTTATTCATCAGGGTTCGCCACAGCGGATTGAACCATCAACTATTCCAGCATATGTTTTACACAGCTGATGCCCTTCCAACTGCAACCCAGTACTGGAAAACATAAAAACATCCATTCACACACATACACTATGGCCAATTAAGTAAACCCAATTTACCTCTAACACATGTCTTTGGACTGTGGTGGAAACTGGAGCACCCAGAGGAAACCCACACCAACACGGGGAGAACATGCAGGGAGAACTCCACACAGAAATGCCAACTGGTCCAGCTGGGACTCGAACCAGCGACCTTCTTGCTGTGAGGCGACAGTGCTAACCACTGAGCCACCGTGTCGCCCCCTGTGGCATTTTAGATACTATAATTGGAATTGGAACAAGAAAAAAATTACTTAAACCTAAATTAAGTGCTTCCTTTTTCGTAATTTAAAACTTCGTAATTTGAACTGGACCTTAAATATCCGTGAGACTTCTAATGCATGTCATGCATTTCACTATAAATATCCTCAAATTTACAGGACAGAGTTTAAAGTTAGCTTCTCAATTCTTTTACCAATTCAAGTATCAAATATGTAACGATGGAGGGATATTCTGGAAAATTTCCAAATGCAATTGCAAATTGGATTTTCAATACATGGACGCATGAATTGTTACATAATGTAAATGCAATTGCAAATGCCACATTACCGTATACATTTCCGTGAATGTGCGGTGACTGCCGTATTTCAAATGAAAAAGTCAATTTTTAAATGCATTCACCGTGGCTGCGTCTGAAATTGCCTGCTACACAGTCGGTACTGTTTTTGAATTTAAATGTTTTTCTCTGCCATTTTAAAAGTAGGTATGAATTTGAGTGTCATGAATGGATGTACTACATCCACCATTTTGTCACCATCACATGACCTACCCGCAATAAGTTTTCGAAATTGCTCCACTTCGATTCATGAATTCTCCTGCGGTTCATCAAAAGATAGCATAACATCCATCCGATGTGCACTTTAGAATCTAACTGGAAGAAGTAGGTTATCCGGGTACTTCTCACCTACTGTTTTTCAAATTCTATAAATTCGGACATACTACTCAACTTGCATGGTCCCTACTGTTTTTAGGGTACTTTATAGTATGGAATTATGTGATTTCGGACGCAGAGCATGTCTCAACCCTAATCAAACACACCTGAACCAGCTAATCAAGTGTTTACTTAATATACTAGAAACTTCCTGGCAGGTGCGCTGAAGCAATTTGGAGCTAAACTCAGCAAGACACCGGACCTTCAGAACCGCGATTGGACTCCACTGTCTTAAGCAGCTATAACCCTGACATATTTACAGTAAACAGCAATATTAATAGCAACATTTGCTTGTTTTTGTGTCCTGGATGTAACCTGCCAAATTTCAAGAAGATCACCTGTGAAATTTCTCTGATCTTCTCACTCAACAAAGTTAAATTTGACCTGATTGACTCTTGTGGATAAGGCATCTCTTTTACATCTCTAGATAGTGAGCAACCTGCATTTCTGCACTACCACTTTAGACAAGTAAAGATGCTGGATGCACTTTCACAGAAGTGTCACTTAGAAAAAAATAAATGATGATGAAAGAAAGATAAATGATGATGAAAGAAAGCCACTATTGTGGATTTAATAGAGGAATCAACTGGTTTATAATGGCGAATGTCACCTTTTTAAAGAGGCGTCCTGAGTCTTCGCTGATCTGGGCGAAGCGTGGGATGATGTTGTTGAGGTAGAGATCACTGAGAGTGGCATGGTCTCGACTTTCTCTCTTCACCTGAGCCAAGAGAAGGTTCCAGCAGTTGACTGGAGACAAGATATTCTGCTCTTTTCTGCAGAGAACAGGAAAGACAAAAAAAATATTAGCATTCACTTTAAAATAAAAGACATAGAACATTGGATGAAACAAGTTATTATTATAACAATTTGCTTTTATATACATTATATTATGCAACAAACTGAAAACATGAAAACATTTTTAGTAAATTTCACAAATAATTATAAAAAAATAGATAAAAATACACTGAATTAAATGTGAAATTTTGAAATAGAAGGGAAAAATCTTCCTGTAAAATACATTTATAATATAATCTGTTTTTGTCATACTTTTAAATAATCAAAGGGACAATCATCAAAGTGCAACATAAACCAACTAAATAAAGTAAACTAAAAATGTTTAATATAAAGCCGGCACAGCGTTTCTGTGTGGAGTTTGCATGTTTTCCCCGTGTTCGAGTGATTTCCTCAGGGTGCTCCGGTTTTTCCCACAGTCCAGAGACATGCGCTATAAGTGAATTGAATAAACTAAATTGGTCGTAGTGTATGTTTCCCAGAGCTGGGTTGTGGCTGGAATAGTATCTGCAGTGTAAAACATATGCTGGATAAGCTGGCAGTTCATTCCGCTGGGGTGACCCCTAATAAATAAAAGGACTAAAGTCCCTTGCAACAAGTTTCACAGCTCACTGTGTTGCAAAGTTCAAGCTTGGTGAATTCTGACCTGCGAAACCGCATCACGTGACTTCATGAGACCAATCAAAGATCAAAACATGAACTCCCTGGACAAAATTTTAAAATATGGACCAATCACGTGCTTTTTTAAAATGTCTAGCCATTTAGTTTAATCCATACAGTAGAATTACGCATGTTCAAACTCTTGTGTGACCATGGTTTAAACTGAAGGAAAATTAATGGATTAATGAATGTTTAATATAAGAATTATTGCATTTATTGTATTTATTAAGTTTCATTCTTTACCCTTTTTTTGTCATGCAATAAACTTAATCTTTAGCAGACTTCCGTAAAAAAAATCACAGTATAGACAATGTTGTTTAATTTTATTTCACTAGCACAATCATTGCTAATTGATTATGAATATTCCTAACTTATCCTTAGCATCTATGTGCTGCTCATATGCATACATTTTGCCTTAAGGACAAAATAAAGACTTTGCTTAGCAGTAAATCTCACAATAAATACAACTCAAAACATAAGCATCATCATTTATATCAGTTCAAAACAACCTTGTAGAGTTTCTTGATGTGCACTTAAAGGTTACTTTAACACATGTAGTCCCACTGTGATTAAAAAGTGTATCCACATGTAAAAATCTGTCCTGATAAACCCAATGCCCTTTGTGTGAAGCCACTCCTGGACATACAAAGCGATGGACGTCACGTTAAAGAGGAATTTTGCTAAGCCCTGCGTTACTCCAGGCATATGCTGGAGGGATGGACCCAGCAGCCTGTGCATGCCAGAAGAGACAGCTGATGCTGAGCGTCCCGCAGAAGCCCGTGAGGTGGGGCCCGTTCCCTGCTGTCAAAATACCTCAGAGATGAACCTCACCAGAAAGGAGAATCAAAAAAGACGGCATCTACAGAGCTCACAGAAAAGCATCCGGCGGTCTGTTAATGTTTTACAGCCAGTGTGTTTATAGAGGAACAGCTAACGCATGACCTTGGTCCTGCTGTTAGCTTGAGTGCTGAGCATCTGTGAGAACTGATCTAACCTCCATTCATCACATCTAACCAAACAACTAGCAACTGTAGCCATCAGCGTTATGCAAATGTGTAGATATATGAGGTTTAACAACTTAACAAAGGTAAATGTGGAGAGTTAAAATCCATTTGCTCTCCCAGATAGCATATGAATGTGGGACACTTTAGGCAGCTATGGGACACTGGTGGGCTTCCTTCGGCCCAGACAAAACGAATGTGAGCCTGAAGTGGCCCACCTGTACAATGGCAAAAGCGGGCCAAAGATTCCAATTTATATACGGGCCATTTAAGGCAAAGATTGTGAGCCTAATGTGGCCCATGTGAAAAATGGTAAATTTGGCCCAAATGACAGAGGACAAATGTGGGCCACAGTTGGCAAAAATGTAGCATAGTCATTTAAGGGAAATCTGAGTCTAAACCCAAAGTGTATCACATGTGTAGGTGCAAACGTTCAGCAATATTCAGCACAGTAAGCTGACTAATGCGGCTGTGAGCTTAAATTGGCTCAAAAAAAATATGGCAATTGTGGCCCAGTTTTTTTAAAACATATGTGGATCACTTTTGGCGAACATTCGGCACAGTAAACTCTGGCTAACGTGGCTGTTAGCCTAAGTGACCCAGAGTCGATATAGTAAATATGGCCCAGTTAACTTAAACATATGTTGACCACTTTTGGTAAATATTTTTCACAGTAAGCTCTGGCTAATGTGGCTGTGAGTCTATAGTGACCCAGATGAGATATGGCGAATATGGGTGAGCATCTCTGGCTAAAGATGGTGTGAGCTCAAAGCAGCGGAGGTATGATGTGGCAAGTACGATACTGTTTTCATAAAACATACTGTATGATAGGTCACTTTTGGTAAAGATGAAGTATAGTGATCATTGACATAACAGATACGGGTAGTTATATAGCTAATTTATGGCCCAGATCTGGCAAATAGAAGCCGACCACCCAAGAGCCATCATTCCATTCAGCAAGTGGATGTAAGTATTTGGTGTAGGCCAGATCTGGCAAGATTAAAAGCAAACTGTGGCCCAGAAAAGGGTCAGTTCTGGTTCATTTGGATGAATTTTAGCCGATATGTGGTATTGCTAAGGCTTGATTGTGGCCCAGATCTAGCATACAGGAACATACCGCCCAAGTGCCATCATTCCATGTGACCAGGATGTACTGTAAGTGTCTGGTGTGGGCCGGAATTGAGCTGTATGAATTTTGCTAGCTGGGCTCTCATTTTGGAAACACTTTCGTTTACTAAAAAAATATAACAAATGACAGTAAATACACCCAGTCCTGCAAAAAAATTGAATAAATGATGTTTGTTTGAATTTTAAGCTAATTAAAGAATGATGAAAATATCATTTCAGAGTTTCTAATAAAAATCCTTGTGATGGAAGTTTTGCTTGAAGGTAAAAAAATCTTCCCGCACAGACTTCTATTGTTCTAGTTGGTCATGTCAATTTACAGTGGCTTCTGTTTGAACAAAAACAGAAAAACAAAAACAGTGAACTACATTTTAAGTCACTTTTTAATGCGATCATTTTTGTTCGAAAATGTAATCCATACCTATTCCCTATCTCTAAACCTAACCACAACTGTAAATTATTTCTAAAATCTGAGGGGAATAATAGTTGGATAACAATTATGTAGAAGTGCATAAACCTAATCAAAAGCTTAAACTTAACATAAACGTAAACATTTTTCTTAATTCTGATTGGCTGATTGGAATGTTGATGCAGGATCAACATAGACGTTAATCAAGAAACATGTCCTACTTGGTGAAATCAGGTTGGCGTTTTCAGATATCCTTTATTCATTTGCCTTCGGTTTAGTCTCTATTTCAGAGGTCACCCTGGCTAAATGAACTGGGAACTATTCCAGCATACGTTTTATGGAGCGGATGCCCTTTCAGCCGCAACCCAGTACTGGGAAACTACAATACACACTCATTTACACAAACACTCATACGCTACAGCCAATTTAGTTTATTCAACTCACCTAAAGCTCATGCCATTGGACTGTAGGGGAAGCTGGAGAACCCAGAGAAACCTAGCGACTTGAACCAGCAACCTTCTTGCTGTGAGGCGACAGTACTAACCAGTGCTAACCACTACCGACATTGTGCCACCCCATTTTACAAAAACTGGAGCTTTCTAGTAGTTCAGAAATCATGTTTTAACATTAAGTGTTGAAGAGTTCAATTAAGTAACTAAAAAGGTAAAGCTAAGATCAGACAGCACAAATTTGATGTACATTTAATTCTAAAGTCCAAAAACCAAATACATTTAAAGTGCATTTATTTCTTAAAAGATATTTCTAAAGAAAACATCCAAAATTAATGTATAAACAATCTGTATTTCCAAAAAAAAATTATTCTCTATTGTATATCTCAATGCTATCCGAACCCCTTTTAAAAAATTAAAAGTCAACCTCAAAAACATATTCTAGGCTAAAACCAATCACTGCTAATGTCCTGAATTAGTCTTGGTCTCTGTACTAAAGCTCACATGAAGTAAAGGGGGTGTATTAACACTTCTCTAACACAGTCCTCCATGTTGAAGAGTGTGTTGGACTAATCATATCACTCGACGGAGACTGTCTCTCAGTACAGGACATTCCCCCTGGCTTTGCCTGCCGACAAGACTTCAGACAGACACTCCTCCCTGCTAGTTCAAAGAGAGTGGAAATCAGCCAACATTCAGAACACAGCGGGGGGCTCTATGGAGGTACATCACAGCCTGTCCCCCTGCTCAACATCTGTCAACATTGTGGAATGGACTGGACATGTTTCACTTCATCTGTGCTTATGTAACTCCTCTGATGATAGGATTAGAATCAAATAAACCAAACTATTGTCATCAGCCAGTCAAAGGTATTTCTGTAGATCAAAAAGGCAAGCAACTGAGATTTACATAATTAGGCTGGCTTGTCAAAGCCAGACTACTGTTATCCTTTCTAAACTTATTAGGCTGGCTTGAGAAACAAGCCAGACTACTGAAATCCTATTTAAACTTATTATTTTTTTTATATATTATTCTTCTTCTTCTGAGACTAAAATTCAAAATCTATCTCCTCCTAGAGCTTTCGAGCTATGACCACCAAACTCACACCAGACCTCCAAACTATTCTGACTCGGTATGCCATATCTTTTCCGACTGATCCGACTTTCGATTTTCCGAAAAACTTCCCGGGACCGTCGGAAAAATCCCATAGACTTAACATTGGACCAAACTTTGTGACCTCATAACTCTGCATCAGACTGTCACACAGACTTCTAACTGGGCTCATTTAACTCAGACTACCTAACTGCCAATAACTGATGAGGTTTTAACTTTCTGGC